CGCAGTGACTCCTCTTGTTGACTTAACAATTTGACACTCTTGTTTATGGCGTCAGTAATCTCCCTAGGCTCTAGTCATGAGTTGCCAAGGCTATGGAAGCCTTTTGAGTTCGCCGACTTCAATCTTATTCCGACAGGGTCATAGTCAAAGTGGAAGTTCTCTCCTCCCTTCAGAGAAAGGTACCACCTTCTTTGATGGCCCGGTTTTTCCACTGGGCTCTCACTTGCAGAGATCTTTCATTTAGGATTTTTTTTTTTTTGCCAGAGTGTCTTGGCTTTCCATGCCTGAAATACTCTCATGGGCTTTTCAGCCAGATCCACATGCCTTAAGGGCTGATTCTGAGGCCAGAGTGCTGTTTAGGACATCTGCCATTCTAAGAGTCTGCTGTGTATCCTGCTTCCCATGATGGATTGTTCTCTCCCTTTTTGATTCTATCAGTTGTATTAGCAGACACTAGTCTTGTTTGTGTGATCCCTTTGACTTTTAGACCTTTCAGTGTGATCAATTGTGAACTGAAATTGATCACTTGGACTAGTGAGATGGCATTGGTACATGCCACTCTGATGGGATTGTATTGGAATCCCCTGGCACGTTTCTAACTCCACCATTTGGGGCAAGTCCGATTGAGCATGTCCCAAATTGTACATCTCCTCCCTCTCTTATTCCCACTCATATTTAACAGGGATCACTTTTCAGTTAAAATTTAAACACCTAAGAATAAATGTGTGTTAATTACAGAGTTCAACCAATTGTACTAGAACAAAACAAAACAAAAATACTAAAATGGATAAAGTATTACATTGTACATCAATAGTCAGGACAAGAGCTGATCAAGTCACCGTTTCTCATAGTGTCAGCCTTCTGCCTCTCTGCTGAGCTGCCTGCCTGGCCTGCCCAGGTGTACTTTCTCCACTCAACCATGTAACCTTGCTCTTCCCCAGTCTGAGTGACCGGGGCACTCTCTCTCAAGTTCTGTTTGTTTTCTTATTCTCTCTCTCCCTCTCTTTTAATTTTAGCTCCCACATATAAAAGAGAACATGCAGTATTTATCTTTCTGGGTCTGGCATATTTCATTCAACATGGTGTCCTCCAGTTGGGTCCATTTTCTGGAAGTTGTAGAATTTCATTATTTTTTGTAGTTGAATTATATTCCTTGGTATGCATGTATGTATGTATGTATGTATATATATGCATATATATATGCCACATTTTCTTTATCCATTCATCTGATGATAGACACCTTGGTTGATTCCAAATTTGGGCTATGTGAACAGTGCTGCTGCTATGAACATGATGGTGCAGGTAATACTGTGATACAGTGTGTTCAAGTCTTTTGGGTGCATACCCACTAGTTTGATTGCTAGATCACACTAACCAGTGAGTTTTATATTTCTATATGTTTATATACCACTATTAATTTCCTTTCATTTCAGCTTGAAGAGCTCCCTTTTAGCATTCTTTTGTTAGGAAAGTATGATAGTGATGAATTCCATCAGCTATTATTTGGGAACATCTCTCCCTCATTTATTAATGGCTACCTGGCCAGATAAGATGACGTTAACTAGAAGATTATTTTCAGCATTTTAAAAATACAATTCTACTTTCTTTTGTTTCCTAGGATTCTGCTTAGAGATGAACTTACACCTTCAAGGAGTTTCTCTTTTATGAGCATTCTGTTCCTGATTTTGACTTTCTTTTTGTCTTTGATTTTTGACCATTTCATTACAATATGTCTCAGTGAAATCTTCTTGGCTTGAACCTGATTGTATCAGTAAGCTTCATATATCTGGATATCCATATCTCTAGAATTGGGGAATTTTCTGCCATGACTTAAAAAAAAAAACTTCTGTCCTTTTCTCTTTATTTTTGCCATCTTAAATTCTCATAACCCTAAAACTAGATCTTTTGATGGCGACCCATAAAACACAAATCTTTCCATTCACTTTAATTTTTATTTTCATTTTCACCTTTAATTGGATAACCGGATAATTTCAAGTGAACTTCGTCTAGATAACTGATTCTTCTGTTTGATCTAATCTGCTGTTGAAAGTCCTTTATGTTTTTACTTCCCTTTTATTTTATTCAGCTGCCAAATTCTGATCGCCTCTTTTTAATTTTTTTTGGTTCTTTTTTGAATTTCTAATTTTATTCTTTCATTATTTTCCTGATTGCATGAAATTACTTACCTGTGTTCCCTTGTTACTTGGTGAAACTCTTTAGAAAAATTATTTTGAAGTACTCTCCAGGAATTTTGTGTATCTCCATTTATTTGGGATTTGTCACTGGAAGCTTCTTTGTTTTTGTGTGGTGGTAGGTTTTTCTGGTATTTTTGTGATCCTTGCATCCTTGCATAGATATCTGACATTTGAAGAAGCAGAAATCTCTTCCAGAGTTTATGGGATGGATTTTGTGAGGACAGATCCCCAGTGGGTGAAGAGGGACACACTGGAGTGTGTTGTGGTGTTGGGTGCCATGTTCAGGGGCATGTGAAAACTTTGGGTCTTTGGGGAATTCACTGACTAATTAACAGGTGGAATTTGTGACGTTGGCAACTACGTGGCCCTTGGTAACAGATATGGGGCCTACTTCATCTTTCAGTTTGGAGATGAAGCAAACCTAGGAGAAGCAATGTCATATGGGGTACAGGAAACACAGCTATCCTCTCAGAGTACCAGGATAAACTTGCAGTGACAGTTTCCCCTTGAAGGGAAAGGAGGTTTTGACTGAGATCTATACCACTATCCAGGAATGAATGGCAAAAGGTGAACTGTTGGCTACATATAAAGGAGATCTGTGAAATATCAGGTTTGGAAAAATAAGATTTTTGTGTAACAGAATGAAATGAAAACCTAAATACAGTGTTGCTTACCTAGCCGCTGAATTAACAGAGCCTTATTCAGGCTGTCCTCTGGCAACAGGAAGATCAAGGGAGGAAAAGCAAGCAGTTGGGTTGGGACAAGCCTTGACTGCCTGAGAGGAAAGGAAGGGAAGGCAGCCCCGCATTACCAAATCTCATTTTTGTCTGGGGCTTTTGCAAAACTTAGTGTTGTGCCCCAGGACAGCATCTTATTATTTTTAATAAGGACCTTTTTTTTTTTTTAACAGAACTTGCTGAACTGATAATATAGCTTGTCTGTTGACTGTTTGAATGTTGTGATATATTTTCTTAGTTGTTTGTTTTTATAGAAAATAAGTAAGGTTTAAATCCTTCTGCTACTCCCAAAAATATTATGTTTTTTTAAAAATGGTTTTATTTTGGGTTACGATTTTCTGTAGAATTTCTTATAAATACTTGTGAGGCTTAAATTTTTGAAAAGATGATGTATTTTGATTTTAATTCACTACTACTACTCGGAAACAGAGGTGGATATTGTGCCATGTAATACAAAATGAACATCTTGTCAGATTAGGTAGGTAATTAGAGAGGTACATATTTATACTAGCCTCATAATTGAATTTTGATGTTATTTATTCAAATAGATTTTTCTTTTCCATTATACAATTTTTTTTGTCCAATCTTTTTTTTCCCAACTTTACCAGTTTTTCATTATGGACAAGAGAAATGTGATGATGGTAGAAATATCATGTAAATCATTTCATAGATCTGCTTCTTATTTGGGGGATGAATATAATTTTAATTCCCTGGCTTTATTTAGCCTTACACACATGAAGCATTTGAACGTTAAATGCTGAATCACCATAGGCAGCTACATTGCTTTGTTCATGAAGTAGGGTTGTGGGGCATCACTGTAGGTGTTTTCAGAAATGCTATAATTAACCAATTAGTGGTTAGAACACTGGCAGAGTTTTGTAGTTTTCCAAATGTCTCATGTTGCCCTTGGGTACAACTCACGACCCCTAGCTGCAAATAGAAGCTACCAAGATCTGAAGTTGGGATAGTAAATCATACCTGTTTAGTAGCCTTCTGGTCTACTTGGGGGTGCGGGGGCGAGTGTGTGACACATACCTGTTTAGTAGCCTTCTAGGCTGATCCTTCTGAGCTCAGAGCCTTTCTATTCCTATGCCATGTGTCCTTGTTTGTCATATTTTCAGTGAGTTCTCTAGTAAGTATCATTCTATTTATAGAGGGATGATTTTCTTTTCCTATCTTGGCTGCACACTCATTCTAATAATGAAATAACATTGATTAAACATTGTCACCTGGCCCTTCACAAGACCATCACATTTGTTAAATGATCTAGTTTTATTAGATCTAATGAAAAAATTATCTACAATTTAGGATAAAATTTCCCATTCATTTTTTCTGTTTTTACCTTGTTATTACGTTCAACATCCATGTAAGAAGAATCCCAGACCAAAAAATCATATTCATGTGCTAGTTTAATACAGGGGTTAATCCACAAACTCCATTTCTAAAAATTACAAGATGAGAAATGATCCAGAAATCTGTTGTTACATACAGTTCAAGTGGAGACTATAATTAAGTTTTTCATCCGTTTCCTAAATGGACTAGTTGTAGGAAGAGAAAAGAAAAAGATTCTTTCTGACAAGCCATATGTTGTTGTCTTACATACGCTAAAAAGTTAATTCTTTGAATATTGAGAAATAAATTGACTTTGAGATGGGCAACCTATCTATTTATTATTTCATTTATTAATGTATTCATCACATATGTCTTGGATTCCCACTGTGTGTTGTGGACAGTCAGAGTGCCAGAGGATTGTGTAAAAGCTAACAGCATCAGAATCTTAGCGTTATAAAGCCTGCTGACAGGGAGTTATATGTAGGGTCTAAAGGGCCAAGTGCTTTGAAGTCACTGCAGTAATTTTTTAGAAAGAGACGTAATTTGTTTGAAGGAATCTTCTCCTTGGGTTATATCACATGAGAGCTTTCTTAAGCAACTGTAAAGACTTCTTAAGCAAGAGCAAAACAAATTAATGAGCTTTTGGTAATGCAAATTGGTGTCAAGAATGAAAATGAAGGCTTCGTGTTTTTTTTACCACACCCCACCGTCAGGGTATATAAAGAAGGTTCTGAGACCAGAGAACCCATCACACCAAAGAAACACAGTTCCCTCCTACCTAAGACATCCACTCCTGACAACATGCAGTTCAACAACTTCTCTGAGGCCGTCTTCCCAGGCTGCTACTGGGGCAGCTTTGGCTACCCCCTGGGTTACAGTGTTGGCTGTGGTTTCGGCAGTACCTACTCTCCAGTGGGCTACGGCTTGGGCTATGGCTATCACGGCTGTGGATCTTACAGAAGATACTGGCCATATGCTCTCTACTAATTTGCTGGAATCCTTGAGGAAAAGAGTCTTCTATCCCTTGAAGGCAGAGTGGCACACTTCCAGATTCTTCCTTTATCTACTTCTGACATCCTCATTTGCTCACCAACATCAGAGTCGCTGCTTTCCAGACCTAGCACCAGAATCCCAAGGGAAGACATTGAAAAACCAGATGATGTCCAAGCTGCCTTCTCTGGAAGATGTTTGTTGGGACATTTCTATAACCTGACACCCAACTTGACATGTTTTATTCCTGAATTTTTCATGGCGCTCGTGACTCTCATCCCTGTGAAGTTATGCATGTGTCTGTCAAATTCTCAATAAACTTGTCATGATAGCCTCATCTAGAGTGGAGTTTTCTTTCTTGGTGCCTGCATATTTTCATTTTTATTCAATCGGAAGGGAAATAGATTTACTTTTATCATATAGGAATTAGTAGTAGTGAAAAAGTAAATAGTCCTTGATCCTGTGTGCTTAGTAGGCAAAAGGGTGGGCTGCTGGTGATGAAAAATAAAAAAGTTGGTTTTCTGAGCCTTCTCTGAGCAAAAGGAATCCCATTTAGAAGTCTCATACCAATGGTGCATCATTCATGCTTCATGTCTCTTCTCATCTCACTATTCCTACCCCTTCCCAAGAAAATCCAGGGCAGGAGGGATCTTTTCCCTTATTTCCATTTTAGTTCAACTGAAACCCATTTGATTATCTCCCAGTGATGGATTATCATAGAATAAAGTGCTATGTCATTTACTTAAGGATTTGGGAACATTCAGTAATAGAGAAGCTATCAACAGCCTTTGAGAGCCTTAGAGTCTTTTAGTGAAGGGATAAGTCCCCTATATCAAACCAGCCAAGATGTCTACTGCTTAGAATCACAAAGGTTAGAAAAAATGATGGCACAATTCTTAATCTTCACAAAATCAATATTAGGTAGTGAGTTTCACTCTTAAGATGTGAGCTATACTGGAGGAGTATTTGGAAGATATATAAGCCTCTTTATGTGTTTCTTTAGAAAAGGAAGCACTATACCTTTTATAAACCAAGTAAAAATGTCTCAATCTGCCTATTGAAAACACTTAATACACATAGTAAGGTGTTTTTAGTAAGAGCAGAATTTGGCTTAACCCTGCCCGTGCCCCCCCCCCACACCCACATACACACTCTCTCTTTTTAAAAAATCCATTTATTTTTATTTGTTTGAAAGAGGGAGAAACAGAAGGAGAGAGGGAAGGAGGTAGAGAGATACACACACATACAGACACACACACAGAGAGAGAGAGAGAAAGAGAGAGAGAGAGACAGAGAGACAGATGGATAGAGAAAGAGAATCCACCATCCACTGGCTGGTTTATTTCATCACTTCCCAAGTGCTTGTTACAGCCAAAACTGGGCCAAGCCAAAGCTAGGAGCCAAGAACTCCATCCAAGTCACCAACATTGGTGACAAGGACACAAGTACTTGGGTTATTATCTTCTCCCATCCAGGGTGCACATTAGCAGGAATCTGGTTCAGAAGTAGATGTAACACTTGATCCCAGGCACTTTGGTATGCATCATGGGGCTCCCATAGACTGGCTTAACCCACTGTTCCACAATGTCTGTCCCTACCATACTGCCTTATTGAGTGCCTTCAAGTGGTTATACTGCATATGTTTTGCCTTATAGCTGAAAATATAAATGCTATTTGGAGAGATAATTTCAGAGGAGAGTACTTTGTCTACCATATTTATTTATTTATTTTTTGACAGGCAGAGTGGACAGTGAGAGACAGAGACAAAGAGAAAGGTCTTCCTTTTCCGTTGGTTCACCCCCCAATGGCCACTGCGGCTGGTGCGCTGCGCTGATCTGAAGCCAGAAGCCAGGTGTTTCTCCTGGTCTCCCATGCGGGTGCAGGGCCCAAGGACTTGGGCCATCATCCACTGCACTCCCCGGGCCACAGCAGAGAGCTGGACTGGAAGAGGAGCAACCGGGACAGAATCTGGTGCCCCGACCGGGACTAGAACCCGGTGTGCTGGCGCCGCTAGGTGGAGGATCAGCCTAGTGAGCCGCGGTGCCGGCCTGTCTACCATATTTAATCCAGTGATTTCTCTCTTTTTTTTAATTCAGAGAACATCTACCTCAAGGACATCTAACTAATAGATTCTTTCTCTTTTTAACAAGAATAGACATTGTTACAGCAATAGACTCTCCAAACTTGAAACTTTCTAGTAGCCACAGGCTAGCTCATGCTGAGAATTTTGAATTAAATGTGCAGGTTAGAATGGATAGACAAAGGAAAAGTGGATTAGTCTTTAGAAGTTAGAGCATCAAGGGCTGGCATTGTGGCACAGCAGATAAAGCTACCACCTGTGATGTGGGCTTTCCATTTGGGCACCAGTTTGTGTTCCCAGCTGCTCCCTTTCCACCCACCTGGGAGACCAGTGAAACTCCTGAACCCTGGGTTCACTGCAGCCATCTGGGAAGTGGACAAGCGGATGGATGATCTCTCTGTCTTTCTAAGTCTTTCCCCCCCTCTCTCTAACTCTTTCAAATAGATAAACACATTTAAAAAAAAAGAAGTTAGAGCATCAAATTTAAACTAGATGATCTCAGACTCTTCTGGAAGAATGATTGACATATAAAAATTCTGGCTTTGAGAGATCTCAGAGAGTCTCTATCCCACTGTTTCCAAAGCTCTGCTATTCAAGGGAATGACTGGAGCTGCTGACTGCAAATATACATTCTTCTGCCTTATTCCAAGGGATTCTGACTTAGTAATGCCTGTGGTAAGGTCCAGAAATCCAATTGTTTAGAAGGATCCAGGGATTTTCATCAGGTGTTCTACAGACCACATATTAGGAAGCACTGTTTCAGGGCAACACACACACACACACACACACACACACATGATCTTGAAATTTGCTAAAGTAAAATAATTTACTTAAGGGGATCTAACACCTTGTCAACAACAGAAGGGCAGAGGAAAGAACATCCTTTTCATTCTCCAAGATGATGTACATAGAAGTACGATTATCTTTGCTTAGGGCTTTTCAATCTTAAATAACATGTGGTTGCTAGCAAGTTTCAAACTGGAAATGTCATTGGCTATTACAACGTCTACTGTCATTAATACATATTTTAGTAGCTATTCAGTAGACTGGTGTTGAAAGTTTGATACTGTAATGTGCTAAAGGGAAACAAATATTATCGAGCATTTTATAAATTTATATTTTTCTATCGTGTAGAAAAGTTACTTGATGTCATTTGGTGATATTTTTAACTGAAATTTACATCTATTATCTGTGAGTACTTTTTATTTTTTTAAAATTTTTATTTAAGAGACAGATGTATGTGTATATGTATCTGTACCTATATGTTTATGTATCATCTATATATTTATCTCTTTATCTATCTATCTATAGAGGGAGAGAGAAAAGAGAGAGAGAGAGAGAGAGAGGGACACAAAGAGAGAGAGAAAACTCTCATAGACTAGTTCACTCCCAAAGTCCCATGATGACTAGTAACATGCTAGGGCTGAATCCTGTACCCAGGAACTCAATTTAGGTCTCCCACATTTGCAGCAGGAAAGCAATTTCTTGAGCTAACACTTCCACCTTCCAGGGTCTACATTAGAAGGAAGCGGGAGTCAAGAGATGGAACTGGATATTGAACCAGGGACACCTAAGTGGGAGTTGAAATTCTTAACTGGTGTTTTAAGTGCTGGGCCAAATATGCACCCTACCTGCAGATATTTCAAAAATTTATATACCCCTAACACACTCTAGAAACCTTGATGAGAAGATCTGCTATGGAGTCTGAAAACTGGTATTAATGCATCTCTTTAAGTACTTTTCTCTAGTGCCATCAGTTTAGAAAAATTACAATGTCCTTTATCCACAGCTTATCAATTCTTGTATTTTTCAGCTCCCTCTATTTTTTTTGAACTTAGGAACTCAGTTAATTTATCAATATTCATATAGAATTAATAAAAATGAAAACAATAAATAACATTTTAGAGGCATATTGAAGAGTAGGGACTGCACTTAGTCTCAGCAGTGATCTGTGTGTAGTGTAATTAAATATTTGCCTCTAAGTGTCAATCATCTTTGGTCTTGCATTCATCCAAGATTATTGAACTACACAGAGTATAAACTAAGCATCTCTGACTAGATTATCACCCATTTGCTAACTTCTTTGGATTACTCTTTAATTCACAGTCATTTGTGGATCGGAAGATTAAAGTCTGTGTGTTTTATGACTGGAGTTTACCTCGCATAGTCACACCTGATGTAGTGGTTCTTTTTTCTACTTTACCAATAGTTGCTTATTTCTCCTAACTGCTCCTAAAACCAAACTATGTCTATTTAGGGTCTTCCTGTTGAGTACAGCTTGTAGAGCTGAGAAACGGGCTTTGAATATTAGGCATTTTATCTATTGGAGAAATGTCTAGTGAGAGAGAAATCGTTCCTCCTGTATTTGAGGATAGTTCATAGGAATTCATTCAGATGAAAGGCATGGCTAGAAAATATACTCAAGTCCTTTCTTGTGTTATGGGTCTATGAGTATTGTACTGACGGAATTACCTTGTACGACCCTCACTTGAATCAAGAAGGCAGTGTTATTTTTACTCTGCTTGTTGCTTTCATCGTGACTTATTCACATAATCAACTTGTCTTCTAAGGAGACATTTGAATGCTCCAAGTTTCTTTAATTTTTAACCTTTCATATTCCGGGCTTTAAAAATGAGTTCTATGTCTATCACTAACATCCATCACTTGTTGTCAGACTTTCTGTCCAACCCAGTAAGACCTTCACCAATCATTAGACTTCCCCATTCTTTGATTACTCAGAAGTAATAATTCACCAATGGTAACTGAATATATGAATAACAACTTTTATTTATCCTTTGGTCCATGAAGAGGTTTCAAATCCCGAAGAATTTTCCAAGGTTAAAATTGATGGAAAATCCTTTACATGATATCTCATTGAACATTTTCAAGTACTTTTTTTTAAAGAATAATTTATTTATTTTAAAAGCAGATTTACAGAGAGGCAGAGGCAAAGTGAGAGCGAAGTGTTCCATTTGCTGGTTTACTCCCCAGATGGCTGCAATGGCTGGAGATGCGCTAATCCGAAGCCAGGAGCCAGGAGTTTCTTCTGGGTCTCCCACTTGAGTGCAGAGGTACAAGGACTTGGGCTAGCTTCCACTACTTTCCCAGGCCACAGCAGAGAGCTGGATTGGAAGTGGAGCAGCTGGAACTCAAGCCAGCACCCATATGGGATGCCAGCACTGCAGGCAATGGCTTTACCTGCAAAGCCACAGCGCTGGGCCCTCAAATACTCTTTATTTATTTATTTATTTATTTAT